GGTGGCGTTCCTGCTATCACTCAGCTCTTGGATCATGCTCATCCCAAAGGGGCCAACGTGTTGTTCCCCTTCCAGGCCTCTCCTCCCCCAGACGCTGCCTGCCCCCATGTGAGTCTTGACCGCTGCTGGGACCGCTGGATTCTGTTGGGCATCTGCAGACCACACTGGCTCTGCTTGCTTGAGTTGCTGTGTCTCTGTATGACACTTACTCAGGGGCCAAGACCCTGCATCTCCTCCCCAACCCAGCCTTGGCCCATCCACCTTCACCTATGTTTTTTGGTCTTTAGTGAGCTCTAACTCACACACCATAACATTCATCCTTCAAGTACCTGGGAGACACTGTTTGCCAATAATTTTCAGGTCTGAATTTAAGAATCTCTAACATGAACTCAATTGTTCCTCTATTACAAGAATTCGAGTTCCTCTACAGTGTGTCAACAAGGAGCTCAGGAAGGAGTTGTTGAGCACTTGCTTGGTGCTCTAATGATGGATACGTCGGTCACTGAGCACATTCCCGAGGCCGAAGCTGTGCAAAGCACTTGACAAACATGGAATCATTTAACCCTTTCAGCAAACCCTGAATGGGGAACGTTAACCGTTCTTTCCAAGTGAGGAAATGGAGGCTCAGAGAGGCTAAGTAACTTATTCCAGGTCACAAAGCCCTGCACAGGCAGCAGATTTTGAATCTAGGTCCATCAGGTGTCAAAGCCTGTGTTCTTAACCGCCTCAGGCCCTGCCCAAGTGCACTTCAGGGGTGACAGATTAGAAAGAGAGATGAGCCAGATGCCACTCCTGCCTGGAGAAGTGGGAAAATAAACGTCCATTTCCATACAGCCCTGAAATATTTCGACTCCGTCAGATCAGCACCTGCCTATCAGTAAGGACACCAGAACAAGCAGGAATGAAAATAAAGTTGTAAATACCGGCTCCCCTTCCCTGAGCCAGATGTGACTGAACAAGGCTCCAGATGATTCCAGCCGCAAGCTGTCAGGTCACCCCCTATCCTGACCGCCGCCCCAATCACCACCACCTGCAAACCTTCCCAGCAGAGGCTCAGACACTGCAGAGCAGAGACAAAAAAAATGGTCGTCATTCTATACCACTGAGCATGGGTGGTTTTTCACACAGGCATCCAAAGACCAGGGAGCAAACAGTGAAGGACAGCAGCCTTTGGAGAAATGCACCAGCCCCCTATTGTACGGGCAAGAAATTCTACGAGACTTTCTGAAAGCTTTGCAGAGGTTCTGGTGGGTGCAAAACTCCACCAATAAAAGCAGCTACTTTAATTCACTTCCTTCGTTGGACTTCCTCCTTCCCTGTTCTACTCTTCCCGCTTCTTGGGATCACCTCTCAAACCATCGACACGCAAGTCCTTGTCTGAGGAATCCGGCTACTACTCACCACAGGCAAGTGGTTTATTCCCACTCCCATTCTGCAGATGAGAAGACTGGAGAGGTGAAGTGATTTGCTCAAGGCCACACAGGGAGTAAAAAGGATAAGGACCCAGGCCTTCTGGTCCTGAACCCAGCTAAAGAATTGTGGGTGATGGGGCACCTGGGTGGCTCAGTGGTTAAAGCCTCTGCCTTCGGCTCAGGTTATGATCTCAGGGTCCTGGGATCGAGTCCCGCATCGGGCTCTCTGCTCAGCAGGGAGCCTGCCTCCTCCTCCTCCTCTCTCTCTCTGCCTGCCTCTCTGCCTACTTGTGATCTGTCTGTCAAATAAATTAAAAAAAAAAAATCTTTAAAAAAAAAAAGAATTGTGGGTGAGAGCAAACAGGCAGGAGAAGCTCTTAAAAGCTTTGCAAAGACTGCTTTCAGAGACATGGCACTTGGGAGGATGTCTTATAATTCACTGTCATTTGAAGCCTTGGCCGCACTTACAGTATCAGATGAAAAACAAAACGGCAGAGCTGCAAACTGCCAGGCAGAGACCGTGCCCAGAAAGACCAGTGTACCTCACCAGCCCCAGGCCAGGAGGGCTGCACACATTCACTCCCACTCCACCAGCATCTGATTTGAAAAGCATCTCTTTTTACAGCATGAAGTAGATTGCTTATTAGTAAATTTGAATGTTCTAGTTTAAAACTTGCTTCAAAGGTCCACTTGAAGGTGTTCTTTCAAGTTTCTAGAAAACCTGTTTGTAAAGAACCTACATATATAGCAGGCACTGTTTTAAGCACTCTAATCTATCAGGAATCATCCTCATTTATAAACAAGGACACTAAAGCACAGAGAACTGAAGTGTCTCGCCGAAGGCCACACAGAATGTAAACAGCAGAGGAAATTATAAAAATCGCAAACAGTAAAATGGTAAAAAAAAAAAAAAAAAGTTTTAAAAATGGTAAAAGTGGTGAAATAGTAAATAGTAAAACTGTAAATGGTGAAACACTTACCAGTCTGGTCAGCCTCTGAGAGGCTGAGCTGGAAGCAAAGGTCATAGAACCACAGAACACTAAGTAGGAAGGAGCCAGGCGCATACATTCAAATGCCCGCAGGGTGTGAAGCGGGCACAGGACAAGACAGCTGATGGATGTGGACCAGGAGAACCAGCTCCCTCGGCCTGTCGGTTTACAACCCTAACAAGTCTAACCACTTATCCTGCAGATGAGCAACGGAGACCCAGAGAGGAGGCGATCTGTCCGAGGTAACACAGCTCCACGAGGCCAGGACCAGATCCAAGTCTCTCCTCCCTGAACTGTGTCTGCAGCATAACGCACTGGCCCCCACTCAAGAAAGGGCAGGTGGGAGGTGTTTTAGATTCAGAGTCCTAAAGCCCTCCTTCTTGGCAGAGGAGCCAGAAGTTAGGACTTGACTTCCATAGGATGACAGGCTGCCCTGAACATTTGGTTTAAATGTGGAACCAGGAAATGCAGTGTTCCCCCTGAGCCGTGAGGCATGTCCTTCCACTGAGATCTCAGTGCCCTGGTGAACTGCTTTTTGTCCTTCTAGAAGGCTTTTCCTAGCTCAGGGAATTCCCAGAAGCATGGACAGACTGAGAGGTGACCTTTTCCCCAGGTCTCCCTTGCCATCGCCCTCTGCTGGCCATTCTTAGAATGAGCACAGCTGGAGGAGAGGCCCCAGCAGCAGGAAGGTCAAGGATGGCCAAGGAACATGCCTGGAGAGGGCCGAAATCAAGCTCCCAAGATCCTCTACTCCCCAGCCCAGCCCGCCCATTGCATCCTGTGGGTGAAGAGTCACAGCACACACATGCCCTGGTTATCTAGCATTTTCTACAAAATTATTGGACAAAAAGGAGGCTTCAAGAGGCAAACCTGCCATCCGGTTATTCCACAAGGTTGAGCCTGGGAGCCGGGAGGGCTCTCTCAGACAGCCCTATGTCTATTTCACCTGGATTTTCAGCACCCCACATACCAGAGGCCTCGGTCCATCTCTCAACAGACTGATGGCTTGGCAAGTCCAGGCCCCAGCTGCCCACATGGCTGCCCAGAGGCCCCAGCACACAACTGGTAGAGTCCAGGATCTGAAAGTTTCATCGTATGGTTGATTCAACCCCTTTAGCCCCATCCCTGTTTTCACAGCCTCGGTGTCTGTCTTTTCCCGGCAAGGCCACCCACCATTCCAACAGTGCTCCAGAGATCTCTCCCTGGTCATGGGCTGGGTCCCATGACGAATTGAGATACCTCAGTTGGGACATGCTACCTGCTGACGTTCTCTCAAATGACCCAGGAACCAATATTCCTGCCCCCCCCCCCCCCCCCCCCCCCCCAGAAGCCCCACCAGGTACAGCAATAGGTGTGTATTCTGGAAGACTATTCCTGCAGGGTAAGACCAGGCCCCTCAAGCCTGGCTTGAACTTCAACCTTCACAAGATTCTCAGGTCTCACAGCCTCTGGGTCCTCCTGCCTCCTCGTGACCTGGTGTTCCCCAGACTTCGGCCAATTCTGATCTGTCCGACCCCCAACTTTGCCCATAGCCGCTACAGGAAAGACCCAGATCATTATAGGACCATCTATCTCATCAATTCATTCGCAGAGAATTTTCCCATACATCATGAAACTTCCCATAATTACTGTCCCCAATTTAGAGATGAGGGAACTGAGGCTAGCAGAGGTCTCCAGAGAGTGAAGAAGTGGGGGCACCGGCCACGGCGCTCCCCCAGACCCGGCCGGCCACAGCACGGGGAGAGGGGGGAGGCCGCGCTCTCCGCTCGGTCTGTTCATCTCTGCGGGCCGCCGGCCCCCGGCTAGGAGGGGTGAGGCGGGCCTCCCAGCCCATCCTCGCCTGGGTCCGGGCCGGAGCTCGCCGGACTCGTGAGCTCCGCGGAACCTGCGACCCGGCCCCGGCGGCGCTGCTGCACGGAGCGCGCGGGCACGGAGGCCACGCCCCTCGGGACACCCGAGCCGGCTGGTGGCTCCGAGAAGGGAGCCGCGGCGCCCGGGCCGAATGTGCGCCAGAAAGACCCGCACGTCCCGGCGCCGCTTCCTGAGGGATTAGAGCACCTGCCGGCTTCCATCTCCGCGACCCCCAGGCCGGGACCGCGCTGAGGGGGCTATCGGGAACTTTGCGGCAACTCGCGCCACTCGCATTCTCCCTCAGCTACCACCTTCCCTGTGCCCGCCGCGCAGCTTTTCGGGTTTTGTTCTTCTCTTCCCAAGAGCAGGCGCGAGATCTCGGGAAACTTTGCGCACAACTTGCAAACGCCGGGAGCCCCGAGCCAGGGCTCCCTCCGAGCCCGGGAGCGGCGCGCCCTGCCCCGCGCCTCCGGCGGCCGCTCGAGCGGAGCACCTGGCTGTCAGGCGGCCCGGGCGCCCACCCTCCTCCGCCTGGGGAACGCTCCCGAGGCTGCCACCCGGGGCGCGCCGCAGGCCCGCGGCCGGGACGTCCCAGCCGGAGTGGCATTGTCTTCCCGGGGAGCCGGGGAACCTCGGGGGAGGGAGGGAGACCCGCCCCACAGACGGCAGCGCAGGCTTGCCCACCACTCATTTGCATTTCAAAGGCAAACTTCTGCCCGACTTCCCCGGCGGCGGCGGCGGCACCTACCGGCTTTGCACGGGTCGTGGTAATGCTCCAGCTGCTGCTCCGCGCCCTCCTCGCCTTCCAGCGCCGAATAGTCCGGGGCGGCGTCCAAGAGCTCCGCGAGCCCCTCGGCGCCGCGGGGTAGCGGCGCTAGCAGCAGCAGGAGGAGAGGCGGCAACAGTGGCACCGGGACCTCGAGAGCAGTCGCCCGGGGCATGGTTGAGAGGGGCCGACGGATTCCGAGGGAGCTGCGGGTCCGGGAAGCTCCTCTCGGGTCAGGGACCGCGCGCTAGGGGCAGGTCGGTGGCGGCGCGGCGATTACGCACGGCTGCCGCGCATGGCTCGGGCGCGGGGCGAGCAGAGCGCGGCGCGGCGGTCCGCGTCGGGGCGCCCAGGAAGCCGCGGCTCGGAGCTACTTGCCCGGCGGCCGAGGCTGCAGCGGCTGCGACTGTGGCGGTGGTGGCGGTGGTTGGAGCAGTGGCCGCTCCGCCCCTCTCCACCCGGGCTGGACCACACAGCCCTCGCCAGGGGCCCCGGGCAGCCAATCACTCGGGCGCCCGAGGCGAGGCCCCTCCTCTTCCCGGCACCTCCGCAACTTCGGAGGAAGGGGAGCGAGGTGAAGATGCTCCCGGCAAGGACCGGGGGCCCGCAGGGCTCCCACCGAGTCGAGGGCGCCCTTCTCCGGGCGCCTCCTCTGCCTCCGGCCCCCGGGAACGCTGCTCCTGAAGATCAAGGCTGAAGATCAAGGACTTCCCGCCTTGTTTTGTCGGCATGGCTCACTTTACAACTCCCTGATGCACACGTGGGCGAAGGCAGGCGGCAGCGGTTGTGGCTCCGAGCTCAGCACCAGGAGCGCGGTGTGAGCGGCCCGCGTCGTTACCAACTGGCTCTGTGCTTTCGGACAATCGTTTCTCCGTAGGAATGAAGTTATTAATCTTCTCGCTGGTAGCTTTCAGCTCAGAAAAAATAAAAGATTACGATTCTCTCAGCTTTCTCAATATCCCTCGTCTAGCCATAAAGGACGCTTGTGCCAGCACCCACCTCACCCAACCTAGAGGCTGGTGATACGAGTGCCTTAGGGGAAGAATTATTTAAAATGACAGATTTCCCCTCTTGGTGACCCTGTCCTTCAACAAAACTGTTTTAAGATGCTTCATTCAGGGGCGCCTGGGTGGCTCAGTGGGTTAAGCCGCTGCCTTCGGCTCGGGTCATGATCTCAGGGTCCTGGGATCGAGTCCCGCATCGGGCTCTCTGCTCAGCGGGGAGCCTGCTTCCCCCACCCCCTCTCTCTGCCTGCCTCTCTGTCTACTTGTGATCTCTCTCTGTCAAATAAATAAATAAAATCTTAAAAAAAAAAAAAAAGATGCTTCATTCAGGCAAAAAGATTGACAAATGAACAGCTATATGTGCTATTTGTGTTAAATTACAGACATGTTTTTATTAAATAAGCTACTCACCAGTAACTTGATGGAATAAAAATGACCAATTTCTGAAGTCTGGTTATTTTTTGCCAATTAAAAACATATGCCCAAATAATTTAGAAGAATAATCAAGAGATATTTGAAACCCACTCCCACGTTGTACCTTAAATGTAAAAATTGTCAGAACTGAGCCATTTTGACTTATAGACATAAAAAGTTCTATTACCGTGAGGCATTTCAAAGACCTTTTTATGCAAGCAAAATTACCCTAATCAAGAAGTAAAACACATCAATGTGTAGAGATTTTTCAGCATCCCACCCAGTAGAATCTTTTTTCCTTTAAACTGCAAGCAAAAAATGAACTCAACTTGCTTTTAGGTTTCCACATGACTTCACGGCCGCTAATGACAAACTAGAGTTGGGCTTTATATACAAGACTCTAATTTCTTGGATTATGGTAATGTCCTATCTATTAACTAGGATAACAAGTCCTTCAAACCAGTAAAGGTTTAAAACAACTACTGGAAGGTCGCGTCGGGGTATTTTGTCTTCACCCTCAGAAAGAAATTCAAGTTGACCCTGTTTCATCATCAAATGGGCACATACAGAATGGAGCCAGATTGGGCAAGAAGATCTGATTTGGAACTCCTAAGTAGGAGAAAGAAGTCTGGGGGGAGTGGATGCCACCAAATGGCAGGGAAGAGGCCAAGTGGCCATTAAACAGGCAATAGGTGTGGGAAGGGGTTGAATGGCATTTCTGCCTGAATGCTGGAAGGAGTCAAACCCAACGCCATCGTTCCCTGCACTGAACCCAGTGAAGGTCACCACCTGTCAGTAGGCAAGTCCACAAAGTCAACATCTAAAAAGCCTAACAAACTTCTGTGACACTTCCAGGTCTCCAGATGGCACTAGGTAAACAGCCAACTGGCTTCCTCATTAGCAGGGAATTCCTCTAGAAAGTAGGACATTATAGGAGACCTCCTGTATAAGCCCTGAGTTCGTGAGCCTTTGTTGCCTCTAATCCCCACCTGGTGAGGAGCTGCCAGGTCTTCTCACCAACAGTCTTTGTCCAAATATTTTGAAGACAGTGGTGCTCCTGAATGAGCAAGCTGCACAGTTTTATGTCAGAAGCCTTGTTTTCATGCTACTTTGGCTCTCCATCAACAAATAGCAACAAACATTTGGATTATAGTATTGAGAGGTTAGGTAGGAACAACTGAAAAGGGATGGCTAATCATTTTTATCGGTTCTACAATTACTGATTTCACACACTACTTTTATATTGAACCCTAATCTTGACCCATATAATTTTTAAAATATGTATTTTTAAATTTAAATCCCATGGGAATACTAGAGGTAGATTTAGAGTAAAAGGCTTTACGCTCTAAAGCGGCTCAGCATAGTCCCATTACATCCATAATTATTCATAATTTTTGTGGTTTCCTCCCCCACAGCTCATGGGCCTGTGGAAAAACTGCCAAGTGGATACAAGCTTCCCCCCACCCCTCCCGTTTGGTCAGATGTCTATCCACCTATTTCCATATACCCAGAGCAGCCCGGTTCTCTTGCAGCAGCTCTCAAACCCCTGCGCAACCCCTAAGTTTTATCCCCAGCTACTCCACACAGGCCACTTTCTCCTCATTTTGCCATTCCAGACCACTACACATCATCACATTTCCTCCAGGGTAGGGAGAAGAACCTCTAGAATAAAGCAGGCACTCTTATCTGCTGGCTCATTCCTTTGTTTACGTTACCACTGAGAAGGCACTTTGAGTTCCTTAGAGAAGGTTATTAAAAATATTTGTTATAATCTTTGAACAGCTGTTCAAAACCCTTTGTAGCTCTTCTCCAAAACCTTTGTCAGAGCTCCTCCAACACACTGCACCTCACTATCAACTGTCAGGCCTTCCTTCCACACTTCCAGTCTTGGCTCCTTCCACCTCTGTCCACTCTACACTCTTGTTGCATTAAACACCTTGCCATCACCCTAACAGAGCCTTGCTGCTTCACACCTCCATGTTTCTGCCGGGTACAACTTGATAACCACACAGCCCGCATCCTCATGCCAACACCTACCATAACCCTCAAACTGACCACACTTATGACACTTACCGATGTATGTATGTCCTACTCCACTCACCTATAACCAGCTCCCAACTTGGAACCAAGTTCCAATATGGAACCTTCCATATTTCACTCTCTAGACTCTCCCTTCCCATCAATGACCTTCAAGGTTAAGTACCATAATCTTAGCAGCTTAGACTGAGCCACTAAGAATAATCATGACATTGGCCAGTTAAAATGACTTACATCCAACTTCTCCATACAACCATTTCCTCCACTTTGTAAATTTGAAATTTTATCGCCTTAAACATGCAAAGTTTTGAAAATGATTTAAATACATTTGTAGACCATATTAGCACTGACTCCACGCTCCTACTGGAGGCACATTCCTCCCTGTTCTAACGTTAAACTGTAGATTAACAGTTTAAGGAAACAGTTCTCACTTTGAAATCCAAAAGCTGGCTATATAACAGAGTCCCTCAGACTCTTAATTTTCCATCCACACAGAAACTGTCCATTAGAGATCAAAAGTAATCCACGTTTGTACTAAGTGAAACTGTTTGGCCAACAGGAATTGTCAAGTATTTGTATTGACCGAGGCAGCTAATAAAATCAGGGGAGAACTGAGAAGGTTGACAAGGACTGAAATAACTAGTTAAAGCAGATGAAAAAGAGAAGTACCAAGAGACTTGGGGAAATTACTGATTTTGATGTAGCACAATAAAAATAACCCCTTCTGGGGGCACCCAGGTGGCTCAGTTGGTTAAGCGGCTGCCTTCAGCTCGGGTCATGATTCCAGGGTCCTGGGATTGAGCCCCACAAACCTCAGCAGAAAGCCTGCTTCTCTCTCTCCCCCTCTCCCTGATGCTCTGCTTACTTGTGCTCTCTGTCAAATAAATAAAATATTAAAAAACAACAACAACAACAAAAACCCCTTCTGTTGGTATAGAACACTAATTTTCAATGCCATCTTTCCCTATATTATCTGCTCCACAGGCTAGAGTTGTGGTATCTGCATTTCACAGTGAGAGTGGTCAAGAGGACCCTAATCTCATCTTGATTCTCTCCGGCCTAAAATAATATACTCTTTGGCTGCTCTAACTTCTTTCCTAGAATATGTAGTAGTCTACCCTATCAGCTTCACAGAAGGGTTGTGAGGGAACATGGGTGGCACTACTTTGACTAGACAATGTAGGATCAATCATAACAACAGGCCTGGGGATAGAGGGGTTTGAGTGTAGGAGTCAGAGCTTGTACACAGAAGTCAAAAGAATGATAATAGAAGAGAAAAATATTCTTGTAAAGACAAACATTATACACTGTACCATTCTTTCAACTTTCTGTATATTTCTTTTTTTCCAAAATAAGCAGTTGGGTGAAAAATCGAATCTTAATTTTTAAATCCTTCATTTCAGGGGTCAGCAAACTGTAGCGCATTGGCTGTTACTGTTATTGTTCGACAGTCAATCTGTACATCCAATAGCAGCCATGTTCGCTGGTTTATGTCCTATCTACTTCTGCCACTGTGCTACAGTGTTAGAGCAGTTGCATCTGGCCCTCAATGCCTCAAATATTTCCTACCTGCCCTTCACAGCAAAAGTTTGCAGGTTTCTGTTTAACTGTGAAATGCTATCAGTAATCACTTCATATGCATACCAGTAATAATGGGTGATTCCTTAGGCCTGGTTCACTTGTTTCAAAAAGGAAAGAAATAAAGCATCCAAGGAAAGTA